ATTAGGTGTAAATTAGGAAAGATCTTGGTAAAAATTAATTTTTCAATGATATCAAAGAAACTTTCTTAATTCGTGTGAAAAACTAAATAAGTCTATATAATTGGGACGAATGGAGTTATATTTTTTAGCCCGTTTGACCATCATTAAAACATTTTTTTTTCAACCACTATGTACATCATTTTTTATATATTTTTTTATATTGTAATACGTGACAACATATCATTAAACAATTTTAAAAAAATTGATTTCCCACCCACCACATTTTGAAAACATTGAGGATGACATCCTCAATGTAAGAATAAAGTTGTTTCATTCTTTTTTACATAATTTCATTTTCAATCACACATTCTCGCGATAAAGTATTTTGCACGTAAATTTAAAAAATTTCCTACTTTCAACCATGCTTTTGTTTGGCTCCATTTTAATAAAAATTTGGGGGAAATAAGTTTTGAAATAGTGATTTTTTGAAAAATATGTTAAAAAGATTAAATTTAAAATTTATCAATTACTTTAATCACGAATTTTATGAAATCTACAAATTTTATCATCTATTCAATTCTATATATAACCAAGTTTCATTATAATTTACTAAAATTTGATTCTTGGCTAAAACAAACAAGGCTAAAAAGTAAATTAAAATTTTATTTATTGTCCTACATACCAGTGTTATTCATTACAATTTAAATTATATATTTGATACGTTCTTGTCATGCTGATTAACTTTAATTTTTAACGACTACATTTTTTATGCGTACATGATGATTTTTATAAGCTTTGATATTGCATCTAAAAAGTTTATGTTTTAAAAAAGTAAGTGAAGTGAGGTCAAATTAGTGATAACAAAATAATAAATGAATATAAATAAGTTCTATATTTTTTTATTTTTTACATATATTAGATTAATTTACGATTCTTCCAATGTAGCATTACTAAAGACAGAATAATTTGAGGCAGTAAATCTTCAACAATGTGGAAGCTTAGAAGCCAAGAGAATTTGGAAACAAAGGGATTCTTTTCACACAATATTGCTGGTTTTGGACCACCCAATTTGTATTGTGGTTGGAAAATAAATATTATGGAGATCATTCAATTGTTTTAACGTACTTGGATTTTTCATTATCAATCAACATGGATAATGTTTTTCTTGGTTTTCGGTTGGACAACGTGGTCAATAAATCTAAACTTCATTTACGTTCAAGTGTAAGGCTCTTGTACACTTGAACAAACTGTTAGAAATATATGACTTTTTTTCCGGTGGTGAATAAGCGACCTCGAGTACTATTACGATCAAGTCAGACAATTATAGATCTAAATACTAGGTGAGAAATGAATAGAAAACGTGAGTCACAAAAATATATACGTGCACAGGGTTTTAGAGAGGAAACAATGAGCAACATCAATTTGTAGCATGTAAAATTGCATTACTTATGAGCTTCAATAGTGGAAGATATGAAAGTATTTACCATTGAATTAAAGATACGTAGCCTCATCTTGATGCATGAGACATCATCTTCATAGGTGACACTTTTGTAGTCATATATTCAGGTAACATTTAGTTCATGTTTGGGTTCCATTTTTTTCAAAAATGCATTCTATTAAAACTCATTTTCAACAACACATTCTCCTATGAAATAATATTACACGTAAAATCAAATTTTTTCCTTATTTTTTAATCACGCGTTCTCTAAAAAAACACTATTTCAAAACACATTTCCCCCCTCAAAATCTCATTTTAATGGAGCCTAAACATGGATTTAATGATTCTGAAAAGTGGTCACTCTACGATCTAAGTTTGACATCTAAAAAAGTAAATTGACAAGTTGAATGGGAGGCGTCTATTATAGAGATATCACATCAATTAATAATAGGGAAGACCTTGTACAGATGATCTCGATAGAGGCAAAGCTAAGAAGATGTCTTTGAAAATGAAGGCTCATTGCTTCAAAATTGAGCTAAAGCAGGCACCCCATCTTCTATTTGANATGTCTTTGAAAATGAAGGCTCATTGCTTCAATATTGAGCTAAAGCAGGCTCCCCAGCTTCTATTTGATGAACTCGATTAAGCCAGATAAGTTAATGATGTGGAGTGCGGACATGAGGTGGCTTGTCAGCTACCACATGGTCAATGATTAGAGTCTGGTAGAAAAAGGTGTAACAATAATCTATTGAAACGCTTGATGAATATTTCGTGGTTGCAGTAGTATCATTTTTAGAATTACATTAAAGACTTGCACAAAATATTATTCTAGAAAGAGTAATGCTATTTAACTCCACTGGGGTTACAACCCCAATCTAGGTGGCGTTAATGTGGCATTGAATGATAGGTAAAATTAAATGATTCATTTAATTTCACATTTCATCTAGCCTATCATTTAGAGCCACATAGACTGAGGTTACAATCTCAGTGGAGATACATAGCATTTCTCTTCTAAAAATGGAAGCGCAAATGAAAATCGCAAATCAGACTTTAATACGTCACAAACCCTACCTTACCTATAATTTTCTCGAAAATAAAATAAAGATTTTCATTTGACAAATTAGATGAAAAGGAAAATAAGAGTACGTTTGATTGCAAGGGTGAAAAATGGGTGTAAGGAAAATGAATTTCAGGGAAAGTAATTGCCTAAAAATTGTTTTACAGGGAATTGTTAATTAAGGCCCTGTTTGGTACACATTATTTTTTTTATTCTAGTTCTTCTACTCATTTTCAACCACACATTCTTCAATAAAATAATATTTTCTATCACATCAGTAATTTTTCCTTCATTTTTAACCACACATTCTCCATTAATTAATCTACTATTCAATAATATATTCTTTCAAAAGAATGTGTCCCAAACACACTCTAAGTGTGTTTGATTGGTATAATTTTCCACCCGAAAAATTTTAAATTTTTGTGTTCGTTTAACTTTGTTTTATATAAAAATTGTCTATTGAAGTGATAAATTTTTCTACAATTGGTTATAAAATTTGTTTACATTGCTAAAAAGTAAAAAAAAAGAACGAAATTTTTATTCCTAAAAAATCATTTATTTCATCAAAATTTAGTATTCGTTTGATTTTGTTTAACATGGAAATTGTCCATTAAAGTGAATTTTTTTTACAATTGGTTATGGCATTTGTTTTTTATTGCCAAAAAAAAAAATGTAGCAGCAGCCTGGAAAAAATTTTCTTACAAAAATGGTGAGAAAAAATTTTCATCAATTTCCAAAAAAATGGGTCACGTGAGCACCTCAAGTGAAAAAACAATTCCCAAAAAAATTATACGTATCAAATAGCTACAAATGTGAAAAATGAAAAAAAAATTTCGACTTCCAAGAAAAATAGAGGCTTTCAAACAGGCCTCATAGAACTTCAATAAATGGAATAGGGGCAGCCGCTGAAGTCCCAGTCTCCTTCACCGCCTACTTTAACTCCCTTTTCCCTTTCTTCACTCCCTTCTTATCTTCCCCTTTCTCTCTATATCTATATCCGTCTCTCTCTCTCTCTCTGAATTCTCATTTTTCAGTTTATTGATTCAGAAATGGCCGGAAGTGGAGTTGTAACCGTATACGGGAATGGCGCAATCACTGAGACTTCAAAGAAATCTCCATTCTCAGTGAAAGTGGGCCTTGCCCAGATGCTCCGTGGCGGCGTTATCATGGACGTTGTCAATGCTGAACAGGCCCGGATAGCGGAGGAGGCTGGTGCATGCGCCGTCATGGCACTTGAGCGTGTTCCTGCGGATATTCGGGCACAAGGTGGCGTCGCCCGCATGTCAGATCCACAGCTGATTAAGGAAATTAAGCAGGCGGTTACTATTCCTGTTATGGCGAAGGCCCGGATTGGGCATTTCGTCGAGGCCCAGATTCTAGAGGCTATAGGGATTGATTATGTTGATGAGTCTGAGGTGCTTACGCTTGCTGATGACGAGAATCATATTAACAAGCATAACTTTAGAATCCCTTTTGTTTGTGGCTGCCGGAACCTCGGGGAGGCCCTCCGCCGTATAAGGGAGGGCGCTGCCATGATTCGTACCAAGGGGGAAGCGGGTACTGGGAATATTATTGAGGCGGTGCGTCATGTGAGATCGGTTATGGGAGATATTCGTGTCCTTCGTAATATGGATGATGATGAGGTGTTTACATTTGCGAAGAAGATCCAGGCGCCATATGATCTGGTGATGCAGACCAAGCAGCTTGGCAGGCTTCCAGTGGTGCATTTTGCAGCCGGTGGGGTGGCCACACCTGCAGATGCCGCCCTCATGATGCAGCTGGGATGTGATGGCGTGTTTGTGGGTTCTGGAGTGTTCAAGAGTGGGGATCCTGCCCGCAGGGCTCGTGCCATTGTCCAGGCCGTCACTCACTACAGTGACCCGGAGGTTCTGGTTGATGTTAGCTGTGGGCTCGGGGAAGCAATGGTTGGAATTAATCTCAATGATGAGAAGGTCGAGAGGTACGCTAACAGGTCCGAGTGAAGAAACATAATGGCGCCGGAAGCATAGGCAGGATTCAGCTTCTGATTTCATGGCCAGTGAACGAGATAAAAAAAAACCTCATGGATAACTAATCTATGTTGGTCAATATTACAGTTTATTCTTAATGAGATGTTGCTGTTTTAGGTTCAAAAACTTGTTATAATTTGATACCTATGAATTGGTGTGGCAAATTGAATTTGGTGTTACAGTTTATTCTTGCAGTATCTTTTTCTTGTACCTGTTTTTTTCTTTATGTATTATGTGTTATAGTACGGTTGCTGGTAAAAGCTTTTGCATATTTTCTGTGTTGGGATGTTTCAAATATCTTAGTAATGAATTTCGGGATCAATATATTGTTTTGTAAGTTTGATTGTTGGAAATTATCTGTTTTGCTTAAGAGTTCATATCCCACCGCAGGGACAGGGCGGGAGTACAGAACGGCAATTAAGGATGTTATTAAAATTTGCAGAACAAATTTGCGGAATAAGATCGACTTGTTTAGAATTTATTGTATTCCATATTGGGTTGATTCTGGAAGTTTAAACAAGTGTTGGTTCTTTGTTTATTTGGCTCTGAGTAACAACCGAAATTGAAAAATGAAATTCAAACTTTTCAGTTCTTACTCTTGGCTTCAAATTGGTGGCTGAACTTTGTAGATGCTCTTAGAGAAGCCAGGTAATTTGGTTGGGTTTCTTTATGTTTCTTAATTTTGAGTATAATTATTTAGATACTGGTTTTCTTGTCTTACATGTTTGAAAAGTTAAATGATTTCATAAGGCCTTCAAACTCGTCTTTCTGAGGTTAACTCTTTCTAAAACTCCAAATGTTTATATTAGAGAAGTCTTAAGCTTGGGTCAAGATTCTAAACTTAGTTTATGACTTATCCTTCTTATTTCGGAAGTCTGCAGTATCAGAGCTTAAATTTAGTACTATCCTTGGAAAACCTCTCAACTGAATTACGAGGAAATGGAGGACCAGTGTGATACACAATGTAACAAACGGAGCAATCTTAATGTCTAGATTTGGTTATTTGTCATAATAAGAGTTCTTTGTATTAACAAACTATGTGATCTGTGAAATTCTTGGTATTTTAAATTGTGAAAACAAGAGTTAAAAAGTATGTTTCATCTCAATCATTTTTGGAAAAGGCCTCTTGTAGTGTACATCATTGACATAGTTTTCTTATATATATATGCTGTATGAGATCTTCATTTTTATCAATCTTCTCAGATACTTTTATAGAGCTAACGTAAGTATGTTTCATCTCAATCATATTTGGAAAAGGCCTTGTAGTGTACATCATTGACATAGTTCTCATATATATGCTGTATGAGATCTTCATTTTTATCAGTTTTCTCAAATACATTTATAGAGCTAACTTAAGTTTGAGTTAAGCTACTCTTTTTTTTTTCGTTTAAGTGAGGTTGAACATCCTTCCGAACACCAGTTCCCCAGTATTCTGATCTTTCTTAGGATCGAGTGGCAGCCTCAATCCAAATGGAAGTGCCATGTGTCCTGAAATATGGGTTCCTTACTAACTAGGCTTTGAAAGGATTTTTGTTGAATTATGAGAGTTTATGCCCGTTATTGAAAACTAAAGGAAAAACCTTCGTAGAGCTTCAAAGGACTGAACAACTATAATTTCAGTGCGAAAAACTTACTTTTCTCCCTTCTCAATTTGTGATTTACTCGAACCTTTAGAATTACATCTCAACTGCATTCACTCGAGCAACTTGCGCTCTCTTATTTCTGCATGCACTTTGATTTGGTTTTGGAAAAGCTATAATCTTTTAATCTTCAGAACAAATTAAAGTTTCTACTCAACTTCCCCATGTAGACGTGAATTAGATGACTAATTTATGGATATATGCAGTGTTCTAGTTATAATCCTGAGCAAAATCTGCCTATTCTGGGAAACATTCTGCTTAGTTTCAGTGACCTGGCAAGGCTCCCAAGTGTCCCTTTCATCTTTTGTAATTGTTGTTTGAAGCCTGCCATTGCTACTATCATAAATTGTTTTTCTTCCACAAGACGTACGTTAATGGGTGATGTTTTGATGGCTTTTTTGTTGTTGCTACTGCAATATAGTGAACGGTACTTGTGAGAGGATGCAGTTTGTTCAAGGGTGAACCATTGTAACCCTGTGCATACATCTCATTTGTCAATTTCCCTCTTTCGAGATATATATGTGCTATAACAATTTAGAGCATGTTCTACTAAGCTCAAACTAGCTTCTTTCACAAGTACGTAGTACAAAATGTACATAAAACCAAAATTTAGTAAGTAATTCCTAAACAAAATCTATCAACTTTAGTGATGGATGAACTTGTAGAACATATCCAAACTAAGGTCAATTGATGTATTCTTTTTAGTTTTTACTAATGTAATGATGTAGTTTAACTGACGAATCTGGAATAGGGACATGAGCATATAGAAATCTGAAGGTTTTTGTTGTCTTAATCCATAGGATTAATCTATATATTAACATTGAAGAAAAAAAATGAAAAATACGAAAGAAAAGGGAAAAATAAAGCATGTCGTCCCTTCTTAACACCCAACACCATTTTTAACTTTAAGTTTAATGGAAGCTGTCTACACTTGTACGGAATGGCGTTCGGGAGTTGTCTCTTTTATACGTACATTTTTCACACAATCGTGAGTTCTAGTGTACCGATATGTCAAAAATGTACTTTTAGAAGAAGGAGAAACATCAAGTTCACGACAACATGTCTCATCTCATACACATCATGACAACATAAGTAATTTACATTACCTTGGATTTAGAAGTTCTAAAAACGAGCATCTAAGCTCTACAAAGAATGTGGCATTATGTTTTGACAATACCTTAATAACATTGTAGACATAAAAAAAATAAAGAAATAAATAAAATAACAAATAATGGGTTGAGTCAATTTAAATAACTAACTCAATTAAGTTTACTAAATTAAAGTCTACGAAGACCCATAAAATTTTAAAGGTCCGTCCGACTCTTTCAAAATCTACAATTATTTAATTATAATCAATTCTAATTGAATTAATTGAGTGGTTACCAAAATTGGTCACGAATTTTTCCTACAAATAGGACCAAATGTCATAAGAAGAAGGCAGAGGGGAAAAGTGCAGAAGAAAATCAAGAAGTGCTGAAGAACCAAAACTGAATAAAGAGAAAAAATCATCTCAATTTCAAGTCCGGCGAACACGAAGATCAAAATATTCTTCAAATCAAACAAACCCAAAAAGATCAAAGTATTTTTCGAATTAAATCAAGATCAAGTCTAAGTTTTGAAGTGCAAATCCAAGCTTCGAAATTCAAGTGTCAAAACAAGTCAAATTCTCGACAAATTAAATTCTCAACAAATCTCGAATCTTAGGATTCAAGCTATGTGATTCATCGTCTTCAAACATTCAGATCATTAATCAGAAGATTTTACAATTTTACAATTACAAGAAGATTC